TATTGATTCAGTTTGAACCGCCATTCATAATTATTTATAACACAAGATTTATTTTTATTATTAGTTGCCTTGCATATGCAAGGCCAGCCAAGCAGAATTTGATTTATTTAGATCAGGGGTGGCAAACTGGCAGCCCACGGGCCAGATGTGCCATGTGCAAGCCACGCCCACCCTGGCTCCACAAAGGCAAAAAAAGTCACATGACATCAGGTGATGCAATCGAGTTTGACACCTGTGATTTAGGAGCTCAATTTATTAACCGTCTTAATAGCCAATAGGTACATACATACAGGAAAGAACAGTTCAAAATAGGCTAACCTAGAAAACAGTAAGCAAGTGTGTCTTTGTGTGTTTGTATACGTATACACACACATACACAAACACATATGTATGTATGCATCTGTGGTGGGTTCCAGATCCCCTTGCAACTGGTATAGTTGCAATAGAGCCCAGTGTCCACCACATGAACGTGCGCAGCGCGTGCACACACATGCAGCACTCGCATGCGTCCTTACCTCTTGCGACGCCTCTGCAAGCCTCCACGACACTCCAGCTGCTCGGCGGAGCAAATCCCTAGTGCTGTGTATAAGCTAAGATGCTAAGCTTGTCAATCAGAAAGGTTGACAGTTGGGCGGTTCAAATCCCTAGTGCTGTGTAATGGAGTGAGCTCCTGCTACTTGTCCCAACTTCGGCCAACTTAGAAGTTCGATAGCATGTAAAAAATGCAAGTAGAAAAATAGGGACCACCTTTGGTGGGAGGATAACAGCGCTCCATGCGCCTTCAGCATTTAGTCATGCTGGCCACATGACCACGGAGGCATCTTCAGACAGTGCTGGCTCTTCGGCTTTGAAATGAAGATGAGCACCACCCCCTAGAGTCAGGAATGACTACCACATACATGCAAGGGGAACCTTTACCTTTATATACCATATATACATTACAATACATACATCGATAGAATCACAAGTCACCCCATCCCATATCCTGTTGAAAAGGAATCTTTGTTTCCTAAAGTTCAAGAAATTAAGGAGAACCTTGTTCCCAAAGGCAGGGCCAGCCACAGAGAAGGCACATTCTTGGAGTTCAACCAGTTGGCACAGCCTGACCGATGGGACCTGCAGCTTCTTGCTCCTGACGGTTCTTATTGATGGGCAAAAATAACCAGACAATAGTAGGCCTCTTAAGTGAGTCCGTACAGGTAGGCCTCAACTTACAACCACAATTGACCCCAAATTTATGTTGCTAAATGAGAAATTTATGGAGTGAGTTTTGCCCCATTTTACCACTTTTCATGCCACAGTTCTTAAGTGAATCACTGCAGTTGTTCTGTTAATAAGACAATGGTGAATTGAATCTGGCTTCCCCATTGACTTTGCTGGCGAGAAGGTTGCAAAAGGGGATGGATATATAGCCTTTATTGTCATTGTACAAAATAAATATAACAAAATTGGTTATCAAGTGGCCCCGGGCAATACTGCCATCGTCCTAAATGTGAATTCCTTGCCAAGGATCCAAATGTAAATCACATGACCATAGGAATGCTATAATGGTCCTAAATCACATTTTTCAGTGCCGTTGTAACTTCAAACCATCACTAAGTGAACTATTGTAAGTCAAGGAGTACCAGTATTCATTTAAATTATAAAACACAATGCCTGTTAGTATACCGAATAAGCTGGGGAATAAGCTATTCTTGTGCAGAAAAAATGATACATAAAAACGGATACACATGTTGAATACTTGAATTTTGTGTGTTGGTCATCCTGGTTTGAAATGACTTGATCAATCTTCCAGGGCACATGAAATTGTATTTCTGAGTGCTGTAGTCTTGGATTGAATCTCCCATGCTAAATACGAACCTCCAATTCTAAATATGAACTTTCCATTGTTACCCTTCAAAAATCTATGCACTTTAAAGATATTTTTTAAAAAAAAATATTAGTAGTGCCTAGAGCAAATTACTGTTCATTAAATATTTTGTTTTTGATATTGTGTATCCTCTTAAGTTTCTTGTAACATAAAGATCGTGCATAATTAAATATTCTATTTTTTTACTGTATATCCCCCCCAGTCTTCTAACTTCTCATGAAATAAATGTACAAGTATCAATCCTAAAATAACATTGTTGCTGCTTTGGATAATCTGTGCCTCATAAAATCATTTGAATGTATTCTGAGTTTGTAAGAAATTTGTTGCTTGTCCCAGTGACAGTCTTCTTGCTGTTTAAGACTGAAGCCCCGAGCTCTTGTCATATCCATCCCCCTCCACACACATTTTCCCCTTTAACAATCCCCAAGTTCTTAATACTCATGTTTCAGAGGTGAAATCAACTTACAGGATGTGATGATGTCCGGGCGGGTGGGTGGAGCCTCCCATCGCCAATGCTACTGGTTCACCCGAACCGGATAGAACCGGCTGAATTGCACCACTGCCCTTTCCCCCCCACATAAGAGCTCCTCCTCCCTTTCAATCTTAGACTAGGCATTGTAGGCCCACAAGGGATGACTTTCAGCGCCTTCATGCTCTAAGTGGGGAAGGGTTTTGCTGCTTCCTCATCCTCGTCATGGTTTGTGCAACTGAATCTGAAGGTTAATGTTTGTTGCCAGCGTCAGAAGGAGCATTCGTCAGGATTCGTTCATGTCCTAACCTAGTAG